CAAGTTGTGCAAGAATTCTCTGGAGCTTCAAGCTTAAAATCTGAAACTGCTTCATGATTCTTAACGGTTATGCAGAAGAATCGATAAATTATCACAATGAGTGTGTCCAGACCGAGCATCAAACAAACTTGGATATGCTGTTGAAACTGTAATTTCTGAACAAAAATAGTTATGTTTGCTTAAATTGGTACCCGCACTGACAAAAAAGAATTAAGATCATTTTATTATGAAAAAAAAAATTAGAATAGAAAACATTGATTTGGATCAATATAAACTCGATGAATTGATCTTAATTCTCAGCTAAAAAATTGATGCAATTCTATTTTGAATCGACTTAAATCTACGTTTTGTTCCGACCACTGAAAGTGGGGAGAAACTTTGTATTTGTTTTTTTTTGGTTAATTTTTTCTTTTTGTTTTCCTCGCAAAATTAGGTACCACAATTATTCATTGAACAGGGTTGAGTAATGTACTTATTAAAACCCTTGCAGTCGTGATTTGAACGCTTTTGAACTTTTTCAAAAAATTACAGTTTCGAGAAAAACCAGTTTGAAATTTTTCATTTTTAGTATAATTTCGAGCGAATAAACCGAGGTTGCAGGCGTAAATTAGGCTTTGTTATAGAAGAAGGATGCGGCGTGAAAATTTTTTTAACTCAGCCTTTGACTACAACTGTTGTCCATCTTGCCAATTTTACAAAGATTGTCAAATATCCATAAGCCTTAGGCTCTTGTCCAATATTTTTTATCAAACCACGTACAAAAAAAAACGACTTTCAAGTGCAAGAATATGGTCGGAACATTCTGGGCTACTTAATTCAAATCGATTTAAATCAAAAATTTCATTCGAATCTTTTTGTTTTATCAATTTGGACTTTGTGCTACCTTGCTGCATTGCCCATCTTTTTTAAATTTGAATCTGTATCGTCTGGTATCATAAAAAAGACCAAAATTTTTCAATGTTTCAAAATAATTTCAAAATGGAATATTTTGAATTGCCTCTTAAGATTTCATTGCAGATTTTGAGCTCCAACTCTGGTATATAAGTGACCATTTTCTTGATTCTTTGCATGAATTTCAGCACAAAACTTGATTTGAAAAATTTTATATGATTCAATTGCATAATTTTCACCATGATTTTGAAAACCTGCTTTACGTTGATGATTTTCTAAGATTTTTTGCATACTTTTGAACTTTAAACCTGATTTGCTTTGACCATTTTCTTTTTTCGTTAAATAAATTTTGATCAGTCAAACCCTGATTTGCATTCATGAATTCATATGATTTAATGGCATACTTTTCATTTCAAAATCTGATTTATATCGACTAATTTCCTATTTTCAAGTAGATTTTTGCTCATGATTATGTTTACATTGATTACTTTCTATGATTTTAGAGCAAAATTGTGAACTCCAGATCTGATTCTGATTTGTTTCCGTCCAAAATGATATAGGTCGATGTTTTTGACACTAAAATTGATCCAACGTTTTCAGGAAAGATTAAATTCAATCAGTTTAAACCCCATTTCAGTTTCTCAAACGTTCCTTCTTAATCGATTTGAAATGATTTAAAATCGATTTAAAATCATATAATATCATTCCGAAAATATTTGTTGTTGGTGCGGGTAAGAATTCATAGCAACATTCTGTCTGTTTTAAAAAAACTGACAATATAGTTGTTTCTGACTTGCAATTTTCCCTTTAATTGGCTGCTAAACAAGAAACTTAAAATAAAGCTAACTGGCGAAAAAAGACCAAATGAGTTCGAGTGATATATGATAATTGAAGAAATTTGGTTCTTCAATTAATATATAAATCTCAAACTTGTGTCGTATTCCCAGTAAGAACTCCAGCAAATTTTCGATTTTGTCTCAAATGGTATAATTCCCAAATGGCATGAAAATTAAAAATTTCCCAAATGGCACAAAATTCATGCACCAGTTGCATTGAAAAATCGAGAACAACTTTTTCGTGAACAATGTGATAAAATAATTCAAGTTGTCAGTTCGAATATTGGTTGACATTTAATCTTGAAAAAATTGTAGAATTTTTTTATCAAAAGCGAAAAGCATACGCTTGCGGTTATTGATAAGCTTCCTGTGGTCAATTTTTTCGACAAACTTGTCGCTTTACATTCCTTTAGAAGCAATTAATTCCGAAACTTGTTAACATGTTTTCGTTCCTGATAAAATGTCAGAATTAGAAATTGATAGAAAATGTTTGAATTACAATGAAAACTTGAAACTTTTGCCATTTGTGAAAAGTTTTATTTTATGCCATTTGTGAGTTATGCGATTTGAGATTTTACCAAAATTTCTTTTTATCGAAGAAAGTATTGCAACGCTTCGTCGCAGTTGACAGTCGTAGCAGGCGACAAAGCATTGCGATTACGAAAGGCGACAAATCCTTGCAAATTAATTCAAATAGGACTCAATGCTTTGTAGTTACGAGAAAAATTACTTCTGGCTGGGCCTTGCTACTTCTTTTTACTCCAAATTGATGCTATGTTTTCTTGAGTTTATTGTTTCGAGACTAGTTATCGCTGTTTGAAATATTGCAGTATCGCTCGCAGGCAGAAAAAAAACTTTCGCAAGATTTTTTTGATTTTCAATGATTACTGGACCAAAACTAGTCCTGGCCAGTTCAGATTTCTTGTTTTATCTAGATCCCCCTCTAAAACATGTTTAGTCATTCTCAAGATTTGCCCTCACTAATTCTTTGTAATAATGAGGAATTAGTTAACAAGATCCATGCATTCTTTCCAAAACATCTCAACTAATATCACCCCTTCTAACTGCAAAAAAAAGTAAACTGTTTTCTACAAACAAAATCCTTTTTTTCTTGAATTAGTCAATTTGTTAAATCAATGATTGAAGTTTATTGTTGAATTAACTGTTTTTAGTAATAGATTTTTTATAAGGGGGATATACTTGATGTTAGAAGCTTTTCTAGGCCTTGTTATGGAGGTCCTTAATAGAATCAGCAAATATGTCTGCTTAGCTGCTCATTAAGAACATCTAAATAATTGATCACTTTGTTATAATCGTTTTCATTGAACTCTTTTAGAACTTTGTTGATGGCGGAAAATAACTTTTGACTAAGATGGGCAATTCACTTTTATAATTTGACTTTGACGTCAATCACTTTTTGAGCTTGAGTTTTTCTTTGAGTGCCGACCTAATTCCTCCCTATAATAAAAATCAATTTATTATACAATTTCGTAAGGTGACGTATATCGTAAGGTTATGGGGGTTGAAAGGTTGCCAGTATGGCCAACATGAGATAACTAATAATCTAAAAATACTTTATGCCAGTAACGCGTTAGCAGAGATTTAATCCGCCTTAGAAATCATTCAAAACTGAACTGAGGCATGCTATTTGACCTATTGAATGATTAGCTATATGCTAATTGTATTATGTTCTATTTACAGATGTTCCAAAATGTAAGTGGATTCCATTTACAAAATTTCTGTGGTATCCGCCTACAAATACCTGTAACGTAAATTTTGTCGGCACATTGATTTTGTTGCGGACTCCGCAACGAGCGAATATAGGTATTTGTTCCGGATACCGCAAATGTAAATGGAGTCCGCACAATTATGCGGGTTCCGCTGACAATTTGCGGAGTCCGCTTATAATTTGCAGATTCCGCTTATAATTTGCGGATTCCGCTTACAATTTGCGGATTCCACGACAACTTAAGTTTACTAAACACATATAATATTATTTGTTCATGGATTCCACGAACTAGTTCGGGATTCCACATGTTTTGTTGCGGATTCCGCAAAGTTGCCTGCTTTTAGAGCAATTTTGAGCAATACAGTGTTTTAGTTATTTGTCCGTGGAATCCAAAACAACTAAGAAGATCAAAGAAAAATAGCTTTGTTGCTAATTCTGCGACAAATCTGATTTTTCCCTGTTGCGGAATCCGCTTCACGAAATGCACAATTTGGCCTCTTAATGGTCTGAAAAAAAAACATGTTTTTTATATTTCATCAATTTTCTCGAAAGCGAACTCCCTAAACTTTAAAAGGCAGTCGGAACGTTCAGGGTTTTGCCCTCAAACGAACAGTTTCGATTTGACTTTGAGTTTGACTTTATGTTTTGAAATTATGTGTGATTTAATGTTTTTTCACTGGCTCAATTTTAAGTTTTGAATTTCAATTCGACTTCAGTTGAAACATATATCGCAAACCTTCATCCGAGGATCAGTTGCTCCCATAAACGACCTTCTAACATATGTTTCGAACTAGCTTGTCCTTTTGGGACTTTTTGAACTAGGTAGTCCTTTTGAGACTTTTTCCAACCTGAAACTGCAAATTTTCGAACTCCAGCCAACAAACGCTTAGAATTTTGAAAAAAGTGAACATTTAGCACATCGAATGCAGTCAGTGTTGAAGTCTCAGCTATCTGGGTTGTTGAATATTCCCAATTTTTCAATGATTTTTGAACGCTTTCTGTTTTTTGAATGCATCAAAAATTTTTAAGAGATTAGAAATTTCAGTGAGAAGGGGTCATAGAAGTTTAACAAAATTATATATCTATGCGTAACTATGCAACAAAGTAGTGAAGCGTTGCAAATCATTTGCTTAAGCTAATCGATTTCAGTAATGGTTTGTCTAAAATCCTGTGATGTGTTGCCATTTGAATAAAATTTGATCATTTGTGGAACCTTTTTTCAAGCAGCTCATTGTTTTGAACCATAAAACTGCGTTTAATCAACCATTTATAATCTGCTTGTTCATTCCAGCGTTTTAAACAAACTAGCGTAACTAGGAGACCTAGTTTTCCAGCTTAACTAGGAGACAAATTAGTGAAGCCTTGCAAATCATTTGCTTAAACTAATCGATTTCAGTAATGGTTTGTCTAAAATGCTGGTGATGTGTTGCCATTTGAATAAAATTTGTTCATTTCTGGAACCTTTTTTGAAGCAGCTCATTGATTTGAACCATAAAACTGCGTTTAATCAAACATTTATAATCTGCTTGTTCATTCCAGCGTTTTAAACAAAACGTTTAAGCGAATCATTCAAACGTTCAAATTTACGAGTTTGTGTGTATTAAAACTAACTTTGAAGCATCACTCTAATAATCACAACAGGCTTTTCATTCTTTTGATTCTTCTTGATAATTTAGCTGTTTCAAAAAAAAATCAAAACTAAATCAAAAAAGATATTTTTTGTCGTTTTAATAGCTGTTTTGGATGGTTGTTGATTTGTTGTGATAACAATGGCTGTGAACATCACTTCGCCACGTCCTAGTCCTCGACTACCATACATTGTCGGATACCAAGGTAAGGATTTTTGAACAAAAATATAAGGTGGGAGGGTTAATAAAAGTCATTTTATTAACCCTCCCACCACGAATTATTTTGACGAACATGCACGTAAATACATGTCGGTAGGTAAAAAAATGACGCTCCGAATAAGTAATCAATTTAAAGTGAAGTTGATATCAGACATTGTTCAACCCACAGAGTTGAGAAAGTACAACGGTCGACTTTTTGGGTCGATACATATAACGACCACTTCAACTCGAGAGTAATTACGATTTTCTTGTTTGCACGAAGTTGTAAAAAAGAGCCAAGGTGAGCTATACTGTGTGCCATAACGAAATGTTTACAAAAAGAATTAAAATAAATGAAGCAGAACTACGATTGACTGGTTCTGAAGGTTGCTTGCAGACATACGCAAACAATTTTGACAGCTTCAAATAAAAGCAAAAGTTTGTCAAGAGTAGTTCTTATCAAGTTAATTATATTTAAGAAAAAAAAACAATTTTTGTACACAAATAAAGCTCATGAGATGTACATTAAAACTTTTTTGTCTAAACTATTCTTTCTTTTGAATTGCAGAACTTGATCAAACTTACAAACTGAATTGCCAACGTTCCACCCTATCCTCGATTTTTTGTCGTTACACTTTTTATTTCTATTTAAAGCTCTCAAAAACATATCTAGTCAATGTAACGTAGGTTTGTTTTATTTTGTAACTTAATTTTGAGCTTCCTATTTTTGTCGCACAAACAAGAAGTCACAACATGAGGAGCAAGGCTACAATGTTGTGTATGATGCTAACATATGGTTGAAATTAGGTGTTTACATTCCGAGTTGGGGTGACCGACCTGAATACCGACCGCATTTGTCAACCACAGTTGTCCTTTCCCGATTTTGTGTGTCGAACAATGTCCGCTGTTAATTTTTTTCGGAAGTATAAAATAAATGGATTGGACTGTACTCATCACTGCAATTTTTGAATTAATTTAAAGGGATCGCAAAGAAATTTTTGTACTTGGTAAAAAAATGCATTCAGATCAACCAGAAGTTGATGCCAGATCTCACAATTTTAGCGATTACTTTAGAGATTACTTTTAGAGATTTCTTTATTGACAATGCCGAAAAATTTTGGGCAACATGTATATAATGTAAGGTTCGTGTTCGACTCATGTATTGACGCGAGTCAACTTGTCTATCAATCCTGTATAAGTTGGGTCAATCGTGTTATGTTTAGAGACTGCATATTATAGTGGTTAACACTTTGGCTCAATAAGCAGATGGTTGGGATCAATTCTATGAATTGAGTACATATTCTATTTATAAAGATTTAAACTAGTGGAAAGTAAAACGTGCAACCTATTTTAATATATCACCCCTTCTGACTGTCCATACTATCGATACATTTTTCGCCCACCTCAACCCCCTAACTCCTTGCCAATTTCCAGTACAATTTCGTTTACTACTTGAGTTTAGGTTTATAAGTTGAAAATAACTTACAAGCGTGACAGATATTTTTCTATTGCAATAGTGATTGATAACTGGATCTGAAGAAAAAAATAGGAAAAAATTTAATTACAAAAAATATTGACACACTTTTAGGAAAAGTCTCATTTCAAAAGAAAATTATTCACTTTTGTCAAAAATTATCCTCCATAAAAATTAATTGAAACCTCTAAACTAAAAACTAGGCCGCCTTCAAATTGCTCAAAGTTTTCTTAACCTTTTAACCAGCCAGAGGCCTAACCCGGAGGTTAATCATACGGTGCAGCAGGTTTTTTTGGCATAAAATACTTAACTATCCACACAATCGAAAATGTCTGTGAAACGCTTTTTTGAACGAAACATCGCAAATTTTTTCTTCTCAAATATATAGCACCTCCCGACAAAATTGCTTGTGAAAACGGTGCTTTTCACGTTTCACATTGTTTTCACGTTCACACAAATATTTGGCATCATCTTAAAAACTATCTATTTTTTGAAGTTGTGCAGCATCTTGTTTTGTTTTAATTTGTCTGTAATATTGAAACAAGCAGCTAAACTTTTGTCGTCTTTAACTAAAAAAATTGAAAAAAACACGTACTCTATAAGCTATTGTTCTTTTTTCTACCGGTAATTGTGTTCAAAGTTCTCAATCTTTTCATTTTTTGAACCGCACAAAAAACTGTGGTTTTGCAATTTTTTATTCGAATTCGTGGATGCTTTCAAAACAGGGTTTTCTTCAGTTTATAATTGCAATCTTTTCAATGTGAATAAGTTTTATTTATTTTTCCAAATTCGCAAACTATCAGTTCTCTATAAAGAAAAGAGTAATCTTAGCATACGAATTTCCTAAATCTGTTAAATTGATTAGCCTATAAATCAAAACACCATACTGTAGAACTGGTTCAATTAAAGTCTTGCAAAGCCGCACAGTAGGTACCATGTTGAAAAAACAATTTGTAGTAAAGTAATTTTGTTGATAAACATTTTCAAAAGTTCTAAATTATTTTCACCATTTGCGTCATTTCAACAAATGACGTGCGACCATTGTCTAATCAATATTCGTATTTTCTGACAACGCGAATTTGTGAAGTTGACTAAAAGCCCTGAATTTTGCTCAGGTCATGTTCCGGAAGTGAACACAACAACTAAGTGTCTGGGGAGGAGTTTCGCAGCCACTGCTGAAGATACAGTGAACAAAGACAGGGTGAAACTGCAGAGGGAGAAGAAGGAGATCTATCTGGGCATCAACCCCAGAGGGGAGAAGTTCCCCTCATACGATAGGTCACACTTGTATGGACCAGAGTGGGCCATAGCTGGTAAAAGCATTAAATTATTGAGTGACTAAGAAGCCAATAATACAAAGTGCTCCTTTCAGACTCCCGCTTGGAAAGTGCTTGGCTTTATTTCGTATTTTCAAAACAAGTTCTGTGATAGTAATAAAAACAAAGGGCATTTTGAAGTTTAGTTCAAAATTACACAGCCAGAACTTAAAAATATCAACATTCAATGTAGATTTTTTTTATGAATCAAGAAAATCAAGAATTTTGTGGTTTTATTCTTCATAACACAGTTCCTGCAAAAAATATCTGATAAAAATCACTGTCATTAGATATTTAACTTTTGCTAAATTAAGTTTACTTAGTGGAACTCTGTAGGACGAATAGCTCATATAAAAATCAAACCATAGTATTAAATAAGGACCGTTTTTTTTAGGTTGATTTGTTAATTCAATTTCAGAAATTGTTACAATATAATAAAAAAAGATCAAATTTTTATACTTTTTAAGGTTACGACGGCCACATTCCACGATACATGTAAGTATGTCTTCTTTTTTTCAACTTTACCAATGCTTTTGGTACTTTCCCATACGCTATAAGTTAATATTAATTTAAGACAAACCCTCGGCAAATCATTCAAATACACATCACAAGAAGCCATAGACAAGTTCCAAAATGAGCATTCCCCGAGAAAATCAAAATCTACAAGAGAAACAGGAAGCAGCGAAATGAGCAAAAGTGTGAACGACTTATCAGGGCTCGGCGTGGATTCGCAGAAAAGTTTAAAACCAGGATCAATCTATCCCATTATCATACCCAGATATGGAGGGTTTGTTCCAGGTTATTTGTTTGCATTGTTTGTAATTGGGACAACGAAAATTTCGGGATGAAAAATTGTAATAAAATAAAAAAAATTGAAGCAATTTAAGAGGCAAAAATCGACAACAATATATTCACAATAGACTGGAATTTATGCCAGCGAGAGAATATTTTTGTTCCGACTTTCCACGAAAGTGACGGAGTGTGCTCGGGTGGTTTTTTTCTCCAGACAAATTTCGGGTTTCTAACTAGCAATTTTTGACAGTTTTTTTTATATATGTTGAAAGATAGTGTTATCTTGAGCTCAAGTTTAAAACAATAATTCACATGTGAACCTTTTTGTAAAGTTATGGGGTTTTCAAGAATGCCAATTTTTGGCCAATTTTGAGACAATTGAAGCGCAATATATTTTAAGCTATTGAGGCGTAAGCGGTGATTTAATTCGTATTAGAAGTAGTTTCAAATTAAATTGAGGCATCCTTTTTGGTCTTTTCAAAAACTTGCTACTGTATAATTTGTACTCAAAATAGCGCGTGGGGATATTTTCTAAAAAAAATCCACAAAAAATTATTATGAAATTTTTTCAGTTTTTTTGTTTGAAATTTTCAGGAATTTGTTTATTTTAAATTTCTATAGTAAAAAACGGCATTGGGAACTTTCAGGGTTTTGCCCTGATACACGCAGTCTGGTTTTCTTTTAAGCGTAATCAGTATTGTGGGATGTTCAGGTCAGAAGTTCCGATTTGGACACAGTAGATATTACGATTAGTGAGAAGTGAAGCACAACGTCAGAAAAAAGAAGGGGAGGCGAAAAAACCATTTGAGATGATGCCATTGAGAAAATCCCTAGGGCGTTGAAAAGCAACTGAACTCGCTGTATATATGCTTAATTATCTTGCAAACTTGAATTTGATCAATTTTTTCTCCCTCTCCCCTCTCTCTCTCTCTCTCTCTCTCTCTTTCTCTTTGATACTAAATATTTAAATTAAAATATTGATATTTTCAAAGATGGTACCTCTGACGATTTGCTCTTGGTATATGCCAAATTTTTATCGTAGGAAATTTTGTCCAAAATGGATTTTGAAAAGAAACTGTTTAGTGAGTAAAATCCTGAATTTGCGTTAAATTTTGTCCATTCGTGTATTGCAAAATGTAAGTCACATTTTTTGCGCCACTTGCAGTTTAGTCAGTTTCAAAATCAATTTTAATTCCATTTTGCCGTAGAACTTAGTGTACTTACAAAAATAAACAAAGTTTATATAAGAATTAATCATCTTTTCCACTCAACTGCTCAGTTAAATGCGGCAAATTTAACTAAAAATCAAAAATGGAAATTTTCAAGATGTTAAAAGTATAAACTGAAAATTTCAAGTTTTGCTTTTACTTTGGGTCGCTTTTTGCCTGAAATTGGGACAGTGCAGTTTTATTTCCCCCAAGAACTAGAATCTTCTGATAATACAAAAATAGCGCAAAAGTTGACTGCACAAAAAAACCGAGTCTACAAAACTGTCTCAGAAAATTATTCTCTGCTGACTGAACATGCTCACAAAAAAACTACAACCCAAACAATCAACTTCCCGTGTTCGAGACAATAGAAAACAGAAGCTCTAAAACTATACAATAAGGAAAGAAGCTAAAATAACAAAACGCTCATTGGAAGAAAGATTAAATCAGAGAAAATTCAAGAATACGGGAATTCGAGCTCGAACACTCGCCCATGTTTCGAATATTTCCGGGAATAATCTTGCAGCGATTTTAAACCCGATTCAATTTTTCTCATTATAGTGTAAACTGCAGCTCTGAACCATGATCAATTTTTTTTAAAACACAACACTGGAAAATTTATACTTCAGTAGTTTTTCATCAAGGAATCAGTGGAAAAAGGATAAAATTGACATTTATGATTCTGGTGCGCATATTTTCATAAATAAAACAATTTCTAATTCTAGTGGATTTCGGAATGTTTTATGTTTCAAAATTAAGCCACGAGGCACTGGCGAAAAGGGTACGAGTGTCCTTTACGAGCTCTACATTGTGGAGTTGATCACTATGGTAAGTTTTCTCTTATTTTTCTCCTTTTTCTGTAGTGTTCTATTGCTACTTCTTGTACGAATACCTAAATCTTAAGCTGATGCAGCTAATGTGAAATGAGAGTTCAAGATAGCTTATAAACTGCATACAAAACTTTTGCAAAAAGTAAGCTTGTATCGTTTTTTTCTGGGAACAAAAATTAATCTGTTCACCCAATAATAGCAAGACTGTTTGTGATATCAATTGAACACTTAAGCATAACTCAGAAGGGCTACACTGTATTTTAGTTATATGGTTTTACTTTTGGTTTTTGAATGATCAAAACGTAAAATCAAATATACCAAAAAATTTTAAAAAAAAGTGGATTTTGATTAAAAACTTGTAAATAACCATTCGTTATAATCAGCAATTTTAATACTTCTTCCCTCATCTCCAGTCTTGCATAGTAGCGAAAGAAAGAGGAGGAAGGGAAGGGATTCTCCCCGCTTCCCTAGCTGTTACATTTTTTTGAAAATTTCTTCCCTCCTGTCTTTTGAAATATATCCAGTTTTGACTGACCAGCCTCAAACTTATTCTCACGGCGTATTTAGTGCCGTATTCAACTAAAATATAGGGGAGCCGAAGCCAAAAGAGCAAGCTCAAGATAAATTTTTTCTAAACCGTGCACAAAATATGCTCAAAATTGTTTTTGACATATTAATGACCACTCTCACAACAATTAAAAATGTTATCACCTGAATTAGATATGACAGGAAAGAAACGAACCTACTATTTTCATAAAAGAAGTCTTACTAAAAGGGTAAAAGTTTCAGCAGCTGTATTTGAAAGTTTTTCAATTTACCTACTTTGATGTAACACAATTAAAAAAGAAAATAGTGGTATTTGTATGATCACAACATCTGAAGTCCTAGGAGCCTTTCTTGAGGTAGTCAGAATCGTGGGAGAGCGTGGTTGCCAAAAAATGGTGATCAGATTCTACGCTTTAGCTTCTTCCCAACCTTGAGATTTTTCAAAGACAATAAAGAACATTTTTTTGTTAATATCAAGTGTTGATGAAATATTTAGTACCAACTGATGATTTAACTGAAAGTACCAGCTGATGATTAAACTTGATATCAACCTTGTTTTTGAATTAGAAAAATACGCACAAAAATACGAAAAATATGCGTTTTTAACAGCTGCCTTGGCAAAAAAGACCCTCACAGAAGAAAACTTGCGAACAAGCTCAAGTTCTGATCCAGCAATTCAGGAACCGCTACCTCAAAGACTATTTGCAAGCACTGACTACACAATCCAAATGGGCAAAAAACACCTCAGAGCATCCAAATTTGAGTTTTAGTTGGGTTTTCTAGAAGACCTGACACCTCGCGGTCTTTGGCCCCTAGCACGAGTACTCCGTACTTTTCCCGGATCTGACGGAATTTTTCGCTCATGCGGAAATCAGATTAGCCGTGGACTGCTGACCGGACCAGCCGTTAAACTTTCAAAAAATCGGAAGAAGATACATCACGAAGTGTTAGTTCGACTACGACAAAAACTAAGCTATGATACAACATAGCGGTTTCGACAATTACCAGGGCACTACTACAATTACAATTTTTTTTTGCAACCTGCAAATGGGCCCGGCCATGTGCATGCTATCAGTACATGAATTGAAAACTCAATAAAATCAAGTTCATCACTTTGAAACAACAGAACTTCAAACTTTAAAACTGAAACACAATGCAACAAATTAGCTTGAATTCAAGTCTCTAAAATGTCTTTAAATTAAAAGCTAAGTACTTCAAATGTTACCCTTTTTCTAAACGTTCTATTTCTTTTCTGTTAATTCTAGTTAATTCATAATTGCCCCTTCTCGATGACTTCATTTTTCTGTTTCACCTACTAATCTTAATACCGTTGCAAGTTACGTGCACAAATACGGGGACAACTGGAATCAAAATTTACTCATGATGAAAGCTCTTGTGAAAACAAAATTTCTGAAGCAATTTAAATTTAAAATTCTGGAAACAGAGCGTCAGCGCCTAAGATAGGCCCCGGTGTAGTAGTACGTGTGAAAGAGCCAACTGCTAGAGAAGCCACACTTTTACGCTCTTCCTTCCTAAGTTCAAATGAGTCATCTTTGCTCAATTGGTTTTTCAATTTCGCATTAGTCCCATTGTTTCCTTCTTCACCACTAAGGCTTCCATTGGTTGAACTCTGATTGCTTTGATCGTGAGTTGTGTGATTTTTCAAATTGGTATGTTTTTGACAGCTTTCATTGGATAACTTTCGATTGCATTCATTGGTTTCTGTCTGATGAGTTTCATTCACTAGCGTCTGATCACTTTCCTTGACTAGTGTCCGATCATTTTCATTGGCTAGCGTTTGAGCAATTTCATTGGCTAGCGTCTGATCATTTTCATTGGCTACTGTCTGATCATTTTCATTGGCTAGCGACTGATCTTTTTCATTGGCTAGCGACTGATCTTTTTCATTGGCTAGCGTCTGATCATTTTCATTGGCTAGCGTCTGATCATTTTCATTGGCTACTGTCTGATCATTTTCATTGGCTAAATTCTGGTTTCGATCCTTTAATGTTTTATGATCAAATTTATTGCCTTTTTTCTGATCAGGGTTTTTCTTTTCTGATTTCGGAACTAACTTCTGATCGTTTCCATTAGCCTTTCCCATTTTCTCACAGTTTGAATTGATTAAAATTTCATCATTCTCCATGGACGCATTCTGACTTTTTTCATTGCATACTTTTTGATTGGTTTCATCTTTTGATTCACTGGAGATTTCATTCACAAGTAGATTTTTGTTTCCGTCGGTGAATATTTGATTAGCTCCGCTTTCTAAGTTTTGATTTTTTTCAATCGCCAATAAAGGAACAATATCAATAGGCGTGTTTTCTTTGCTTTCAAGAGACCGTGAAAATAATTCCAGTTTTTCTGCATAATCTTCATTTCGGCTTGGTGCTTCGTCGGTTGGTGATGTATTGCAACTTGATGTCAAAAGATTATCATCAACCAACGCCGAGCTTTCAAAGTTTCTACTCGAAGAATAGTCGCTAGTTGCACTTTCCTTTTTCTCTTTTTTCCTGACCTCAGAACTATCTTCGCTTGTGAAATTCGGCAAATCGTGTTGACCAAGTTTAGGCAACTTCACTACGCTGATTTTTGAATTTCTAGTGGTTCGTATATCATTTTCAGCCTTTTGATTGCTTTCTTTTTCAGTTTTTCTTGGTTTTTCAGGAAATTTCAAAATTTTTGGAGAGGATAAGCGTTCTTTTCTTCTCGGCGATTTCAATTGTAATCTCATTTCATCGTATTTCTCAAAATCGGTCAATTTTTTAAATTTCATCTGTTTTTCGGTGTACTTCAGTTTCGAAACATTATCCAGCGGAATATAAAATCGGTTCACGTCATTTGATGAACTTAATTTGTGGCGACTCGAGGTATTAATTGGTGGAAACTGGTTTGAAGGTTTGAAAATTGTAGGTTTTTTGTTATTTTGTAAACTTGAACTAATTTCTTTGGTATCGTTTTGAATCAAAGACTCTGGAAGTTGTTTCACTTTGAAATCTTGAATACTGAAATGGTGAATTTTGTAATCTAAAATTCTCTCTTTGTGAAAAGTTTGTTCAGTCCTGCTCGATAAAAACTTTTCTTTTCTCGGGCTCAAATAGTGATTCGGGTTTATTGGCATTGACAATGGGTTGTTTTTCTTCTGAGACGCAAATTTTTCAGCAGTAATTGAACGTTTCATTTTATCCAACTTTTCAGCCAGAATTCTTGGGCTTGGCTCAAATTTAGGTTTCTGGGAATTTTCAAAGTCATCACAGTTATCGTTTTTTGTTTTATAAGCAATGATTTGACATTCAGTTTCTTTGAGGTAGTATCCGGCTATCATTTTGTGTTGGCCTTCAAGAGTTTTGCGGACTGATGGCGATGGAGCTGAACTAAAAATGGACGTGAGCTCTTTGCGGAAACAGGAGTATACTTCCTCCGTCTTTTGAGATTTAATTTGAGGCAGCCCCTGAAAAATAAAAAAAGGATTGAAAAGCTGACAGTCCGTCTCTCGTATCTGTATGACTCATTGTTCCGAACTTTTGAAAAATGAGGAGGAACTTCGTATCCCTGTGTATTTTAGTATTCGAGAAGTTTTGTATTCGGGCGTGTTTTCTTTTTGTTTTCTACGCAAAATCAGCTAACACAAAAAATCATCGGACTGGGTTGAGTGATATATCATTTTAAAACCATTCCGTCGTGATTGGACTGACTTTAAAAATTTTGAAAAAATTTTCCCAATGTCGAGAAAAGCCTGTTTGAAATTTAAGCTGTAAAAACCCAGTTTGACTCAAATAAAGTTTTACTCAGTTATTTAGGAACAAAAAATTTGATAATATCAAAAATAATTCCGAAAACTTTTTAAAATATTTACGATTTTTTTTCGTTTTGTTTTTTAAAATCGTTTTTCAATAAAAACTGTTCAAAAATTGGCTTATTATACTATTGAGTTAGAACCGAGTTGGTTAACTCATAGAGTAATTTCGGATAGGGTACACCGTCTGCTCGTCACGCTATCTTATTTTCGGCCGGATAGATTCGTGCAACTTCTTAGTCTAATACCGATCCTAATCTTACTCTTATACTATCTAGTCTCAGGTTGTTTAACTAGTCTCTGCTAGGCTCAATAGATCTAGGGTATACTGGTTTATTGCGGTTGCTGAAGTGCTCGGGAGAGTCCAACTAATTTCTAAGTTAAATTCAAATCTCTCTGGTGCTGAAATTACAAGTAACTTCAGCACTTACAAATAAGTGGGTTGTTAGTTAGATGGATCATGATTGGTTAATATTAAATACTTTACATTGGTAAAATATCTAAATTATCCAATCATAAAATGTAGTTTAGATCAGGTTCCACCCATCCGGGTTTTACAGAGTTTTTTAGAATAGTTCTTCTGCAATTCGAAGGATGGATGATGGAAGTTGGTGTTTGGCGAACATCTTATTTCTTCTGTTTCCTTTTTGTTAAAGAAGTTCCAGGAAGCTGGAGTTAGAGACATAAGACGTTGTGTCTTCTAGTGACAACGACTAAGTCTTCGCAACAAACTCAAATCTGATTTCAGAATGGTTGGCTATGTCAGGTTTTTCTGTTCTGCGTGGAGAACTTCTTGTGTGTCTGGTCTAGTTTGGGAATGGCGTGGAGATTGTGCGTGGAGGGGATGCCTGGTTACTCGGATCTGTACGTATACTTGAACATCGAGGTGGTCATTGGTCTAGTTCAATGAAGTCCTTTTCTGCGAAGTCAAGTCGTACTCTAAATCCTTTGAGTTGTGATTGTGAGTGGCATATCGATTGTGGTTGATCATTCTCTCTCGAGTGTAGTGGGGTCGTTTTGTCTTTAGATGTTCGTCCTTGGTGTTGTATTCTGATCTATGTATTGCATAATGTAATTTACATTTTATAAAACATTTATTAGTTTAATATTTTTTAATTATGATTTTAGTTAGTTGTTTTCACAAAAGCTTTTTGTTTTAGTTCGGTTATTTTGAAGAGTTACTCACACTTGAGTAGCTCTTATTAAAAATAGAGGTGTGGTCACAAAGCGTGGATGTAGCGCGGTGGGTTAGGCCGGCTATAGAGCATGCTCAGGACGTCCTTCCTGGTGGGTTAGGCCAGGAGTGGGAGTATGATTTCATGCGGTTTTTGTGAGGGGTCCTGTTATGTGACAACGTTTTATGTTGGGTTTTTTGTGGTTTTTCTTATGTCTTGTTGGTTATGTCCTTTTTCCAAAAAGCAAATTGTTCGTGGTATGGGTTTGTCTTTCGACTTTTTTGTGTTTTATTATTTCTTTCTTAGACTTTATAATAGTCTTCAAAAGAATAAATTATCCAGTTTTAAACTGGGTTAATCCGGTTTGGGTACCGTTGGTTTCCTTTTCTTAGTCATGCTGTTATTCTATGATTTGTGGTATTTAGTAAGCTGCGTTGGTTAGTTTTGTTTAGTATATGATTCCTTTCCAACCGGGTTAAAGGAAAGTTTGAAACATGTTATTATATGTTAGAGTTGTTGAGTGTGAAAACTTGAAACTGAAATTCATTATTTTAAACAATTCTTCGTGGGCGAGCTGTGCGAGTGTGGATAGAATTTCTGTGCGAATGAATGAAAATAACAAAAGGTTGGTACTGCAATTGCATTTTATTAATTTACTGCATAGAATTTGGAAATTTACTGCTAGTTATGGGGGAATTTTAAGTTACAAATTTTCATTTTAATTAGATTTACTGCTTGTGGGGAAAATTTTAGAAATGAATTTACTGCATTGGTATTAAATTTATAAATTTATAAGTGTAAGAGATTAATAGAATTGTTGAAGTCTGTTTGATGAAATTTGCGATCTTTATTTGTTTTTTGTGGTTTTTGTAGGTGATCGTCGGATGAAGGCTAAAAATCTAAGGAAAACATGGATAAAGTATGGTGAGTTTTTTAATATTTCAATTAGTTAGTTATATTCATTTAATTCATACTTACCTGTTAGTCGTCGGGGAAAAAACCGTGGGGGAAGATGTCGTGAATTAGTTCTGAAGTTGTTAGTAGTTTAGCTAAGATGCGGATGATATTTTTAGTTTGAAGCAGTGGCCAAAGCAATTGAAGTGCCTTAATAGTGGTTAGTTCTTCAGTGCCAACTGCAAACTCATAAGGTGTGTTTTGGATTAGATTATATAATTTGTGATTGAATTTAGTGTTGTGGATGAATTCTAAAATTGGGATTTCTATAGGTTGTACAAACTCGTGCGGGATAAGGAAGGGTCGGGATTCTTCGGCGTTGAAGGTCTTGGTGATGGGACAGAAGATGTACATTTGGGTTATGGGGTCATAATTACGAAGAATACCATGGAGGTTAGTGTTTTTAATACAATATGTGAAATTTAGGAAAAATGGTGAAGTGTATTTGGAATTAATGAATTGAAAACGATGGTGTGGTTGTCTAGAGGGTGTGTGTAGGTCAAAGTGATTTTGGATGAAGCGATAATAACTATATGTGTGGGTTTGTTTAGTGCGCAACATAATATCGTGTGAGCAGTGTAAATCTCTTTCGTGTGGTGCAAGGAAATGAAAGGTTAGTGAAAATATTTGGAAGCGTTCTTTGAAACTTTCGTATGCTTGTGTGTCTGTTAGTGCTTCTGAAATAATGTGATCAAACTTTCGGTCGAAGATGTTTAGTGTAAATATATATGGTGTCTTGATGAAAAATTTCTCAGTAATTTGTGGATTAGCGAAGCGATCGTCGTCTAAGAATTGATCTTGGTTAGCTCTGATGATGTTGTGATCATAGTATTCGAGTGTATATTCGTTAGCTCTAGGTGCAGTGTGTGTTTTTAGTGATTTTTTATATCCAACGTAAGTAAATTGTCTAGCGGTTAGTGGTGTAGTGAGTCGATATAGCATGTCCGTATTTCGCTCTATATCGATGTGAGTGTTAGATAATGGTAAGCAAAGAGGGTTAGTAAAATGATAATATGAGGTCCAAGAGAGAGTGGGCATTAAAACGTATTCATCTACGAAGTTGCGTGTTTCGTTAGTGTCGTGGGGGGTGTTTAAGGTGTATTGTGGGAATGAGGGTAAGGTGATGGCTAAAAATTCTTTTGTGTTAGTATGCTTGGGGTGGTTGATGTATTCACGGGCTGTTCCTGGTTTTGCTGGGAAAGGATGGTTGGGGAACTTTCTTTTAAAAGTGCGGTAAGCTCTATTAGTGTTGAGTGAAGATTCAGTGGATGTGGATGATGGTGCTAATGATTCAGTATAATTTGAAGAGGGTGTAGGGGTAGGGGGGTTGGATGAATTTATTGTGGAGGAGATTTGGTTTATGGTTGGGGTATTAAGGTGGTAGGGTTGTTGTTGAAGGGTAATAAAATTATCTAGCTCTGGGGAGATTCGGGGGGTGTCTGGAGAATGAGATGATTGGTCAGAATGGTATGAGGAGTAGGTTGGGGTAACTTGGGAAGCATAAGAGGGTGTGGGGGTGATTGGGTCAGGGTTATTGGATAATATGGGTTGAAAAGGGGGTTGAGAAAAATTAGAAGAGGTATGAAAATTATTGGATGGGGATGGTTCTGAGTCGGCAAATTCATCGGGGGTTTCAATATTCGGGTTATTGAGTTGTGAGATGGAATATAAAACTGAGATGTGTGAATTAGTATCGGAATTCATGCCTGATGTTACATTACTAGATGGAAAATCGGGTGGCGGAAAAGCAAAAAGTGATATTATTGGGATTGGGGAGGTAAGATTGGTTGGGTGGGAATTTGATCGGTGTAGTGATCCAAGTTGGCGGCTCATCGTGGGCTAAAAAAATGATTATTTTGAGACTGAAAAGCGGTGGTATGGGGTTGTTCAGTAATTTGTTCATAAGTATTATCATCTTGTGACTGGTGTGTCATTATATGTTGAATGGGACTTTGTGATGTGGTGAGTCGAAAATTTGGATTATGTGTGATGGCTAAGTTTCGAAAATTTCGTGGGACTAGGGATAGTGGATGGTTATTTGGTAGGGGTGGTAATTGTGGTGCCGTTGGCGTTATGTCTACATTGTTATGTTCTTCGTCGTATGTATTTTGTCGTGTTGTTATTTTTGTGTTATATTCTTTTATTTGTGCGTCTAAAAGAATTTTGTTTATAGATGTAGAAAAGATTCCAAAAAATCCTGCAAAGAGTATGCGTGCTACACTTGCTTGTCGATTGACCTGTGTGTGTATAGCACATGTGTTGTAGATTCCTTTTAAAAGTGAGAAAAGAAATCCAATAAAGTTAAACATTGCGTATAAAATAGTCAATTTTTCTAAGATGTAGTAGGGCCATCCTAGAAAATCAAGAATTTCATTCTTGAGTGTAACAAAGCTAAAAATATTGATAGGTGATATATCTTGGGGACGGTATTTTTCACCGTTTAGATATATATAATCTTTAATGTCTTTAAAATATCCGCTATAGTCTTGCGTGTAGATATCGGCAAATCCTGCGGTTTCTGCAAGT